CGTTCACGAAGGTCATGGGACAGTGAGGGCACGGTATGCGCCGCTCCGGGGCCGGAGGTGGGAAGTTGATACCGGACACATGCTCTGTGACACCACCGCGAGTCCGCTCAATCTGCACGGCGCGGTAGGAGAAGGGCGGAATTGAGGTGCAGGTGATTCAACGAGCTGTGGACCTGAAATTGCGTGGATGTCGATGGCAAAATATATCTATGCAGATGGGGCAAGGGGTGATTACATGACCGTCTCTTGTGTGTTTGTATCATGATGCAGCAAAAAACAATTACAAAATACGGTTGGGACGGAGCTCGTGTACGCGTTCTTTTTCGCCATTGTGTCTACTGTACCTTCCTTGCCTTCCTCAAGAACTTGAGGCAAACGGAGAATGTTTGAAAAAGTTGTACACATACATGTACGCCATGCTGAAAGTCAGTCGTTTACACCAACCTGTGACAGAGTAGTTTTTCTCTCGTCTTTTCATTTCATCACCACCGCGTTTATTTTTTTACCAACAGCAGCAGCAGTAGCACTCCTGCTGTATTTACACTACATACAGCTGCTGGACCGCCGTACGACTGCTGTATATATGTACATCATCACAGCAACAGAGTTCGTCAGATGACTGAACTCACCGGTTTTCCGCTGCCACGAGCGAACGCGTTGATGATGTTGCCACCTAGAACACCTTGGGCAGCTCGATCCCTGGCTTGCTTCCCCCGATTTGCGACCTTTCTCTTCCCGGCAGCCGCAGCAGTAGCAGGCGGTGGGTGCGAAGACGGTGCACCTCGCGCGCCGCCCGCATCTTGTGGCGTTAAAAACGACGGACGGGTGCTGCTGGTAATACCCTGGGCCTCTCCATCAATCTGCGTGATCCACTCTTCTTCGTTGAAGACACCCGTCTGCTTCAGCCCCCATGCGTTCTCGATTGCGTCCCATCGCTCCTTCGCAACGGAGTTGCCCGCCTTCACATGTGCCTTTATCGTCTCGAAGTGACGGTCAAGAATCAGTCCTCGTTGTTTCAACTCCGAGAGTTTGCCAAGGTCCTTCAACAACCCATGGGATAAGGGGTTGGACAGGGACATGATCCCCCTGCACGGCAGGCAACTCGTGGCACGCTGCACCACGTTGCGTGGTAAATTAAAAAAACTCGCTGGCTCAGGATGTATGGCAATGTCGCGGTTCCGGTTTTTACGGTTTTGGTGGTGTGGTGTGGTGGTGCGTGGTGGTGTGGTGGGGGGTGGGGGGGTTCTTTGGATACAGAACCGGCCCGCACTTTAGAATATGGACGTTAAGAATTTGAGCCTCAAAAAATCCAATTTTTAAGAATTTGCCCGTAAGAACACGTGCTCAGATCGGACCTGCTGTTAGAAATAAGAACCTCCAGTGAGGTGTACGACTGGTGCTACAGATAAGAACATACTACATGACGCGGCGGTGGCGAGAGAAGAACATACACAGATGGAGGAGGAGGGGGGGGGGGGGGCGTTCCCAGGTTTGGTAGTTGGTACCTACCTAGACTATCCCTTTTTAGATTTGTTTTTGAGGTGGGGGTCTGCTGTACATACACGTCGTGCAGTACAGAATCCCCCATAGGCAAGCGTCCGAGTGACGTTGAATCCCCCCCCATGACCGTAGCCGGCGTTACCAAGTCTGTGTACAGAGAGGGATGGGAACAGGCCATGAGGGAAGAGTTTGATGGGCACTTGGGCACGGGAACGTTTTCATTCGTAGACGGTACGCCAGAGGGGCGTAGACCCGTGAGCTCGAAGTGGCGCTTCACTTGGAAGACAAACAAGGACGGAAAAATTGAGAAGTTCAAAGCGCGTCTGGTCGCTAGGGGGTTTTCGCAAATCCCGAACGTGGACTACTTCCACTCATCCTCCCCTTGCCCATCATCCGCATCCATTAAACTGATGCTTGCGGTAGCCAACGAGAAATCGCTGAAACTCAACCACTGGGATGTCAAGCAGGCGTTTACACACGCTAAGTTGGACGAGGATGTGTTTCTGAGGCTCCCCGCGGGGTGCGGGGAAAAATCCCACAAAGTTGTGAAGGCTGAGCGTGCTATTTACGGCTTGAAGCAGAGCGGCAGGCAGTGGGGGTACCACGCTGCCGATACTCTTGTAGAAAACGGGTTCGAGCAGTGCAAGGCTGACCCGTGCGTCTTCCGCAAGATGAAAGACGATGTCGTGGTGATGATTATCGTGATTTATGTGGATGACATTTTGGTGGCTGGGTCTGATGATGATTGCAAGGAGTTGCTTGCTTCCCTCAACAAGGCATTCCCCACCAAAGACCTTGGAGAGTGCGTGTGGTTCGACGGGTGTGCCGTCGAGAGAGACCTAGAGGCTGGGACCCTTAGAATCTCCCAAACCGCGTACATTGACAGCATCGTGAATCGCTTTGATGTGCAGTCGACCTCCTCCATCCCTGCTTCCCCTGGTGTCGATATAGGACCGAAGCGGGATGACGAGAGTGGAGGGGAATGGCCGGTGAGGGAGGCCATCGGCAGCATGATGTGGGTGTCGACGTTCTCGCGCCCGGACATCTCGTTCGCCGTGCGTGCGGTAGCGCGCCATGCCCATGCCCCTGCCGAGAGGCACTGGAAGGCGATCGTGAAGATCCTCGCCTACCTCAAAGAGACGAGGGACCTCGGGATCACCTACGAACGGGGATCGGGGTTGGGGCTGGCGGTGTACGTGGACGCTAGCTACGCCGACGCTGAGGATAGGCGTTCGGTGTCAGGGCTGGCAACAACGGTTGGAGGGACCGTCATCAGCCACGGTAGCAAGACGCAAGCTATCGTATCTTTGTCGTCTACGGAGGCAGAGTACATTGCTGCCGGGGAGGGTGTGAAGGAAGCTTTGTTTGTGCGTGCAGTGCTTTCGTTTATTGCCCCAGAGACCAGTGGCAGCAGCATTCAGGTCCTTGAGGACAATCAGGGGGCTATGGCTTTGGTGCAGAACCCCCTCAGCTCAGCGCGTAGCAAGCACATCGACGTGAGGTACCACTTCATTCGTGGATTGTTCAGGTCGGGGGACATCTCGATCAAGTTTGTGTCGACGTCGGAGCAGCATGCCGACATGCTTACCAAGGCTCTTAGCAAGAGCAGTCTGCAGTACCACCGGCGCAAGTTGATGAATTTTGCCGGAGTAGCTGCAGCAGTTTCTAGCACTTGGGAGAGGCCATGTTTTCCATGCGGGGAAAGGCGCATAACTGTTGCAGTCTGTGTACCAATGGCAGGAGTAGGGGGCGTTGGGAGACCATCGTCCGGGGGAACGTAGTTCCTCGCGTTCTTGTCTTCGCCTTGGCCTTTCTAATAAGTGCGGCCGTTGTGATCCGCTGTGATAGCGACGGTTTTTTTGGTGGTGGAGTGGTTTTTTTTTCGAGTGGTTTTGCCCGGACGCCGGGTTTCCCCTCCATATATTACCATGTTGGTGTTTTATTTTCTGATGTATCCAAGGGCGCCCTTGCCCCATCGATGGTTAGTCACTTGCGCGAAGAACCAGGGAGGGTGTTCGTGGGTCTACGGACATGGTTTGGATACATTAGCCATACGTACAAGTGTGACGCAGATGGTGTAGAACCTTTCAGGTAGGGGCACGGTGATGAAGCACCGGGACCCCCTTTGTTGAGTGCAGCAGCCGTGCTGCCACTCTCTCTTTCTCCTCCTGCTTTCCGAGCACGACAGCGTCCTGGGTACGGGCGTTGTCTCACCGTCTGAAGTTAATACACTACACAAACAAGTCCCGATAAATACGCGGAGTACGGCCGACAAACATACGATGATGGCCTATTGGCCAGCGGGTGTGTGCTGAAGACATGGCCGTGCTGTAACGGTCCCAAGCAGCTTGAATGAAGTTCGGCACGATCCACGATCCATGATCCGACGATGGCGGGTAAATGTTCCTCCTCCGCGTTCATCCGCGATCCGGGCGATGCCGTGCCAACGGTTGTGCCGTGCGAATGAATGGTGTGTTCGATGTTACAAAGTACGACGGCGTGCAGCGATCACCTAGCCAGGCTGTGGTGGTGTGCTCGAGCATCAGCATTAGCACGGCCAAACGGTCCCCCGTTGTGCGATGCATGCCTTGGTATGCTAGTAACATGTCCGCCTGCGCCACGGTCCGCTGGTCTGCTGTAGAATGAAACATTTACCCGTCGGATCCATCCGTGGATCCCTCCACCCCTCCACTTCTCCTTCTGTTGTCGCCGATGGCATGTTGTTTGAGATCGCCACCACACTGGAATATCTTCAGAGCACACTCGCTGGCTATCTGACGACATACCACACGCCCACACACGTACACGTACATTTGTAGTTTGGCCTTGCTTACCGTGAGGTGGATACCATGGTGGTGCACGGTGGAATGAAAATTCCCCGGATCGCGGATGAACGCGGATGAACATTTACCCGTCGTCGTCGGATCATACATATCTAACTTCGTTCATGCTGTCAACATAGACCAGAGACTACAGACTACTTGCTTGGGACCTGGGACCGTTACAAGAATCGTGGATGAACGCGGATGAACATGTTAAGATGTACAGCATATATCTCAGTCTACGATACATATGCTACAAGTCAGCGCTGACTTGTAGCATAGTGGACATGCTGCAAGTCTAAACAGAACATTTACCCGTCTTCGTCGGATCATCCCGAACTTCGTTTATGATGTCGATACAGACCGTTCCAAGCACATGCCAATTGGCATGAACGCGTGTCCTCCGGCGAGGTGGATGTCGGATACGGTATTGTCACGGTTCCGGTAGTGGAGGTGTTGGTAATTCCATCCCTCTATTCGCGCGCGTATGTAGACACGATCGTATACCCATGTATGTGTGTGAAGATGGTGGTATCACTTGTATTTAGGACAGCAGACACGATCAGGACGCGGCGGGAGAGGGAGAAAATGCCACGACACAGCAAGCATTCCCGCAGGTCAGAGCCCCGTGAATCAACCATAAAACCAGCCCAGGGGACTGTCAATTCCTATCTGCGTAGCCACTTCCGACAGACCCGTTGGAATATTTTCATCCACTCATGCACATACGAACACCCTCCCTGGTTCCTTACGCTAGTAACTCACCACTAGTGCGCATGCACACGCCGGATGTGACCAATAAGCCAAACGGACAATAACCATAAGCCAAAATATATCAGGGGGAAACCCGGCCTTCGGGTCAAAACCCCCACCAATAGTCACCGCTCCATCAGACACTGTCCTTGTTGCGCTACTAGGGCAAGATCAGTAAATGCATAATGCCAGTCGCGCCAGAGTCCACGCTCGGAATCTCTGTCTGCAAAAATGGGCGGCGTGCTATCATATTCTACCTGCATCAAGTACCGAGATCATAACCCTGTTTCCAACAACGCCCTATCCCAACTCTTGGTAAGCAATAATAGCGTAAGACTATCCTGAGGAGTTGGTCCAAAAAACTACCATGCGGCTACACTACTGTCTGTTCTTCAAACAAACATCGAACATCGAAATCGCCCCCCCCTCGCTGACGTAACACAGCGCACCGGGGCACAAGGCAATCATCCAACATTTTCTGAGCGACTCATAACCGGCATGCATTTTTCGACAATCCTCTATTCTCGTGGACGTACAGCACTGGTGTCCTAATTTTCCTCACAGGTTCCTTCAACGGTTCCAACAGTATCCCATCTTCCTGCACATTTCGCAACCTAGAGAACGGCACCACGTAGCCGCAATCAATGAGGGTCTCAACCGAATGAATAGCAGGAAATACTGAACATGTGGACGCGAACGCCTACTACGAGAAACACCGAACACCCTGCCTGGCTCTTCAACCAAAGTGCACTCATGACAACTAACAACGAGGATTTACCAACTTCGCTACGAATACCATCAAACACCAAATACCGCCAGGAAAGAAGAACCGCACAGTGATACGTGTTGCTCCCCTACCAGCGCTCGTCCCGGCCTGTAGCCTCGCCAAGAAAGGAGTTCCCTTTTTTGCACCACGATGCAAGTAACCTCCCCCCACGCCCCTTCGGACGTGCCGCGGGGTTTCTCCTCACGCCCCTTCCGGCGCGCCACGGGGCTGCTTCGATTTTCTCCCCCCCTCACGCCCCGTCACCCCCCTCCCCCCCGGTGTTTGTCATAGGGGTTGGGTTTTCGTCGCTTGGCAACGACGTTGTAAAACAAGCCAATTCACTTCGTGAACTCGGCAACCAGGTTTCCGTTTTTTTTACCTCGTTGTTTTTTTTACGGTAACCATAATGGTGGTCGAGTAGATCATGTTTTGCGGGGTGGAGAAGCCTCACTCCGCGCAAGGGGGATGATCGCACCACGTTGTGTTAAAATGGTCAANGGTGTTTGTCATAGGGGTTGGGTTTTCGTCGCTTGGCAACGACGTTGTAAAACAAGCC